CTGCACCTATACATGTTAATCCTAAGCTGCACTGCCCCGATGTCTGGGATCAGCCGATGCGGGCCTTTTTTTCATACATTTTTGGGGGCGTTGCTTAGGGTTTTAATAATGTTTGCAACAAAATCGCCGGAAACATGCGCTCTTGGAGCGATCATTTATTATGGCAAAAATAACACTCCCAGGTCTAAGGCGAGAGTTCTGCTCAAATGTAGTCGTCATATCGTTTCTTGTCCGTTCGTTCATAGATTGTAATTTATTTTGATTAATGATGGGCGGCAACGGCTGACGCTCTCCTCTTAGCCTCCAATTTCTTGGCATCTTCTTTCCCAGTTCCGTTAGTTTTATTTTTTTTCGCCTTCAACTCTAATTTTAAACCAATTCCATTGGCACGCTCTATCTTTGTGTATACTAGTATTCATAGTGTGTATCTACAAAATTGATTAATTGCTTTAACTTTTTAAAGTGATTCGTTTAGGAACGTCTTTATTTAACCCTAAAAATACGTAAGGTGTGATGTTACGATCTGAGACAAACAAGGAAAATATGTCAACTTTTTGGGAATTTAATTGTTCGGTATCCTTAAATGAAAAAAACATTAGACAGAAAATGGGAATACCAATTAGGAGGTTTCAGAGGTTTACTTTGACTTTGTAAATTATATTTATATTTTTATGAACTTCCCTAACTGATCTGCCAAAGATCTTATAAGCTAAAAATAAACTAATTGAGAAACCGTACGTAACACTTTTATTTTAGTGCATAACCTATAACCTTATGTTACTGAACTAGATTTACAATTAGTCGCTTAACTAGACTTTTAATAACAAAAACGATTATTCTTTAGTAATACTGGTGTTGGTTTTTCAATAAATAATCGCAGTTTAAGTATGTGTTTCGAACCGGACTTTTAGAAAAACCAAATAGGTGGCGTAAAGTACAAAGTATAGAGAATTGACAAACCCACCCGAATGGGTTAAGTTGCGCTTACGGAACGGCTTGAGGGTTAAGGCTTTGGGTTCAGTTGCCTGACCGGAAGCTCCGCGCATTCTTGAGACTAGCGGCGAGCTTAAGCTGAGCCCCTGAGCTCAACTCGCTTCTAAATTGAGCCGAGCAGCCATCTTGGCTTGGCTCTCTCCCCGATTCTCCGTTTCTATGTCTCTTTTCTCCTTTTCTCTGCCTCTTTTTTGCTTTGCACATTTTAATAAAGTTTAATAATTCAATGGGTGATTTTGTCTCTTTGTTGCATTTCATCAGCGCATGTTGTTGCTCCTTTATCTTTATCGTTGTTGTCTGGTCCGCTTTACGCGCTCATTAATATGCAAATGTGAGTCAGAGCGGTTTATTTGTTGTGGTTGTTCCTGGAGTTTTGACTCTCATTTTACCTTTTATGCTGCCCACCATCATCATAATCATCTTGATGTCCGTTTCTCGAGCCTTTCCTGTTGTAAAATTCAGTATTTGAATGCAGGTCAACAGCACATTAACCTGTGTGTGTAATTTGTTTACTGCTGTCCGCTTTTTATCACAGTTTTCATATCAGTAAGTGTCGGAAAGTGAGTGGTAGTCGACTTTCTGATACCCCATCGAAACTTAAAACCCGAACCAAATCGATTCAAATTGTTCACGTCCTCGTCGCATGATAAATGGGGCAACGCATTAGGAGAAACAATATCAACAAACACCACAAACGAAAATAAGTATACTTCATATGATTATACCAGAATTTAAACTACTGGAAGCTAAAGCTTATCTCAACATTTTTTTTTAAAACCACAAAAATAAGATTAAAATTTCCAGTTTTCGAAAAGCTACTATATGCATACGTACAAAATGTATATCAAAATAAAATGGAAACATATTAGTTTGTAAACGGTCTAAACCAGAAAAGGTGTTGCTCAATAAATATGCATAATACATTTAAAGCCGTTTCGTTCTTTGCCTCCCTTGATTTCTATTCTGTGTTATCGCCATAAAGACTTGCATAATAATGCCTTTTTGCAATGGCAACCACGCGCCAATTTTTGCTTTCTTGCTAATTGTTTTGTACTTAGCACTTGCATTTATTTTCTTAGTTTTTTACTCATGTTGTTCATGACTTTTTTTTTTTACTTATGCAACTCACTCAAATGCGCATTTTTCGCTCTTGTTCGAAAGAGAGCAACAAACAATGACGTCACGCGCTGTGTTGAGTGATGTCGTCATAACGTTCACCCGAAAGAATCATATGATTTCCTATTTGCTTTAATGGCCAACACTTTAACACACGAAAACAGAAAAACACACGCTCGCCAGATAACAAAACGAATTCGCTTAAAAATAGCAGAGGTCGTTGGTTGGGCGAAAGGGGGTGGGAGAGACAAAGTGGCAGGGGGCCGTCAAAACAAAATAAATAAACTGAATACATATGCACAGCTTTTATTCTTGTTAAAAAAAACAACAAATAAGAATACTTTGGCACAGTAGCCGCTCGTGCTTGTTGACGTATTTACATACGTATTACGTACCAACTTTTAAACAAACTGATGTACACAGAAAAAAAGCTATACATTACAATTTTTGATTTGTGAATATCATTATTTTGATAACAAAAGTCAAAGTTAAAATCCATCGGTCCACAATGATTTGTTATATATTTTTAGTTTTATAAAACCATTAAATAAACTAATATAATTTTTCTTTAAGTGCACGAAAGAGAGCGCGAGCGAGAGGGCTTATCTCTCTCCCCGTTTGGCCAGCCAATTGTTGTGTGGGGAATTTTTTCTTTTATTGTTGACATTTTGATTAGTCCACCTCCTTTAGAAGTGCATGTGTGTCTGTGTGTGGGGGGAGGGTTGGGACAAAGACAGCTGTTTTGGCTTTGCAATTAAATGACAACAGCAAAATCAAGCCAACAAGCAAACACAAAATGGCACATTGCTCTTTGTATGAATTGCGCTCTACACCGCAACTATAAATCAAACTCAATTTTTTCTCACGAGCGTAATTTTCGTAGAAATAAAGGAAAAGCAACAACAAATATTTATGGCTGCGCCCTCAACACAAAAAAATAACTCATACATACTCATACTTATTCGATTGTATGTACAACTTATGTAAATGCAATGCCAATGTAAACATATGTCACTTTTTTACCCCCCATTCCCCAACATACTATCAAACTCACCACGGCAAATGTTGCGCTCTCAAAAAAAAAAACTCCCCATGCTACGTTGTAAATGTAAAAGTGGCTGAGGCCACTTTTTTTTATTTTGCATGCGCACATCTCTAAAACCTGTCTATGTACTGGGTAAAAAATGTTGGTGCTGTTAACCACAGTTAAGCAACGAATTTGTTGTTGAGGGGAACCCCCCGTAAGTTTAGCCATTTGTTTGTTATATTAGTTTGTAATTTATGGCAGTAAAGCTGGCTTTCTCACCACTCACTAAGGTCAAATTTTGTATAACAGAGTGGGGCTCTCTTTATTCCACACATAAACACACTCACGCACTGCGAGCTTCGTGTGTTTGTGTGTGCCCATTTAGATTCTCGTCCCAAGCTCCACTGTCGCATTGAAAATAACAGTAAATGTTATTGTGCTCAATTCTCCTTTCCTCTCTCGCCCTTTTCCTTTTCATTTCCCTTCTTTGTTCTCTCTTTCCTTCTTTGTTGGCCATGTAACTGATGGTTCAATCTCCAACTCTCTTGTGGTGGTGGTCGTTGGTGGATGGCTTTAACCATTAGGTTTTGGCTTTGTTATTACACTTGGAGAAATGTGGTGATAAAGTCGGTACTTATGAAGAAATAAGGCTAATTAGCTCTACAGATCAATATTACATACAGTACAATACAATAAGAGTGTTATATTACTTATAGCAAATATGTACCGAACTGTTAATTGAACAAAAATTCATTACCTTTGAACATAATTTAATAACAAATAAAAATTATTTCTTAAAGCATTTTAAAGGGGTTCTAGTTTGATTTATTAAAAATCCCCCCACATTTAGCAAACATGTAAACATGTTTTGAATTTCACACTATAATGTAAAAGGTTTTGATTTCCATTGAAATGCGGACTTTGGATTTTGGGTTTAAAAACACTTATCGTCCAGTGTATGACTTGGATTTTGTCCATAACTCTCTCTTACTCCGTTTGTGATTGATGTGCGACTCGGCACGTCGACTTTTCGACTTTGGGAAAGTAAACTGATCGCGATAAATCGATACTCGCGAAGTATTTTCTGCTTAATCGATCGACATAAACAATTGGATACTTGGGGAACATATCAAAGCAGAATTGAAACCGTTAGGTGTGACTGTTTTATATTCATTAAACATCAAACCAAACTCGTTTAGTTTACTACCTCTTACTACGGCTCGTTCTCAGTTTGGTGTAAAAACTGGTTTAGGCCTTTACACTTTATTCCCTCTCTCGCAGACTGTGTAGTATATCTGTGTGTGTGATATGCTTGACAGCCTTGAAGAGAGCAAGCGGATAAAAAACAACATAGTTTTTACTTGTCATGCTGTTTTTGCTGTTGCTGCAACATTTTTTATGCATCCACACCAGCATATTTTGTGCATGTGGTTGTGGGCTTTTTTATTGAACGTGTTGCAATGGAGTTTAGTGCAACATAGTTGCAGATAATCAATATTCAACTACATAATGCATTTTAATTGCCCTCATAATTTGATTGAAATTGAAAAGAAAAAATATTTGTAATTAAATTACAAAAGAAAAAGATAAATAATCTACGAATAAGGGGGCATCTTAAACAAATTTTATTTACATATTTAATTTAGAGTTCCAGGGCCAAATAACGCAAAAATGTTGAAACCACTGTTTAAATTGGAATTAGAGAAAACCTTTTTCAAATGATGATATTTCCATGCACCACTCTGAAGCTTTTAATAGCGTCGTGCAGATTATGGATTTCTGAACATTGAAAATTAAAAATTACACTAATGTAAACTAAACAAGATAAAGTTACTGACTTGCACTATCTTTCTTCTTTTTGCAGCTCGTACTGCGAATTATTTGTGGTAGTCACGAATTGAAACACAAGCACAGCCTAATAATTGGACGAACTGATTAAACAACAGTTAAAACAAGCCCCGCAAAAAACAACGGCGGATCAACAGTTGCGAGTCGCAAGTTGCTAGTTGCACGTTACCAATTTGAAATTGCACGCTTCCACGACTGAGAGCAGGAAGAAAAGGAGTCGCTGCCGCAGCAGGAAGCAGACGAAACTTCGCTGGGCGAAAGTAAAAGCAGCTAGGCAAATCAAGCAAATCAAACAAAGAAACCGCACACACACACAAAGGCGCTCTAGCCAGCCATGGAACGTGAATCCAACCCAATGCAACCCATGTGCCGCTCCGGTTGCGGCTTCTATGGTAACCCAGCCACAGATGGTCTCTGCTCCGTATGCTATAAGGTAAGTACTATCAACCCATCCTAATCGTTTGGCCTGTCTTAATTATTTTTGGTCTGTCTTACAGGACTCGCTTAGAAAAAAGCAACAGCCACCTGTGAGCAGCACACCTGTCTCCGTTCCAAGCCCACAACCTAGCCCCACATTCAGTCCGGCCATCGCAATCACCAACACCGCACAGCCCACAGTCACCAGTTTACAACAGCCACACAACGATGTCAAAGAGGTGAGCAGACTTACGGATATGGATGTAAAGAAATGTTCCCGTTTTCACTTTTGAGGAACTTAAAATGCGAAATTAGCAACTATATTGCTATCATTTTATTAGGATTATTTAGTTCATAATCTATCAAATTACCTTGTTAAAAACTTTTCAAAGTCAAATCATCTTCCCCGAAAGTGAAAACAGGAACAGTTCTAGAAGCAGCATTATTATCCATATGGAAAACTGTCATATCTGATGCTAGCTTAGGTTTTTTTTTTTCAAATGATGATATTTCCATGCACCACTCTTAAGCTTTAATTAGCGTTGTGCAGATTATGGATTTCTGAACATTGAAAAAATATAATATAATTTTGATAGATTTTATTATCGGACTGGTTTGTTAAAAAGACAACATAGCCTTGGCATTTTCTGCCCACTTTTTGAACGTTTTTGTTCAGTCAGTGACAAACTCTTTTGATTTTCGGACATAAATTCAGTGTAATCTTAGTGAAATTGTTGAAACAATTTGTTGTAAGTGCCAAAAATTAGGGGAATTTAAGAAGTTTGTCTGCATTTCGAACTTGTTTAGTGATCTCTGTGTTATTTGTGACGGTGTTGATTTGTGTAGTATCCTGTTGTGTCTGCCATTGGCTACGCTGTTGGACCTATAAATAAGGTAAAGTGTTCCGGTCCTTGTCCCCCAGCGACCATCCCAAGAAGAACGGATTTGGTGGCTCCACCAACTACTTGAGCGGCACTGAACTGCGATTGAGTTGGCAAGGGGTTCTAGAGATTTCTAAGAGGAGAAATCGTGACTAAATGAACATATATAAATAAGATCAATTCAAATCGTTGTGTCAGCAAATTTACGAACAACGTAAAGCCAATACCCAGCGTTTTTCAATTATTGTGTAGTAAAGAGCCACCTCTGGAACCCCGTATCACCCTATAACTCGTTTCAGTTTAGTGTCACTCATCTGTCAATTTCATTCGGCTCTAGTTTGGCAATCTATTCGGCTCGGATACAAAATTTTCTGTGTTTTCGGCACGTTTTTTGAAATCCAATTCTTTCCAAATCGCCGAGATGGCTCCCTTTGGTGCCACGTCGCAAAAGAAAACAAGTCGCGTTGCTACTAAAATCACCACAACTGCCGGCAGAGCTCGAACCGGGTCCAGACTTCTTCAGTCGAATGATTCTGCTTCCATGCCAGCGGGCCGTATTAAGCGGAAAAGGCCAACGACTGTGGTGAAGCGGGCCGCAGCCGGGGCGCTTACGAGTCTAACCGGACCTTTGGCCGGTCCGCTGGGTCTTGGCCTGGTCAATGGGACGGACAGGGATGGGTTCCCGCACCAGATTGCGGCGGAAAAGGGTACTGAATGCTCTTACTGGGTCTACCGGCGTCGCCCAGGCGCACTAACCTCCTTTCCCACCTACACCTCTCTCCTCCACTTTGATGCGATGCTGCAGCACAATCAGCTACCAGAAAAGCAGTACCTCCGGTCCCCCGCCACGCCCACCCCGCAGGGCGGGAGCAGCAGCAGCCGCCTCCGCCGCCGCAGGCGCTTCAGCCGACGCTTACTTTGCTGCCAAGGTGCCTGGTGCCCCAGTCGTCGGAGCGGTTTCGCACTCCGGCAGCAGCACTTTGACCCTTCCGTCGTCCGCGATCAAGAGCTCGTTGGCCAACCGCAGGGTTGGCGGTGGCAAGATCCCAGATCAGATCAAGCATCGCGTTAAGTTCTCGGCCAATGTCCACACATTCCCGTCGGTCACCAGCACCAAGAAGTCCGCCCGGATTGGCGAGCTGCAGCTGAAGAAGAAGGTCAAGAAGCTGAAGCGAAATCGACCGCGTCGGGAGGGCGGAAGTGGTGCTAGCGGAACGGAGAGCAGTGCAGCCAGCAATCAGGATATCTACAAGCACGGCACCATCGTAGATGTGGAATCCTTGAAGGCACCAGCACCAGCACAGCCACGCATTTTACGTCTGAACGTTGTGGGCAAATCGTCGCCAGCAACTGGCCAATCTGCTCTAGCCGCAGCACTTCGCCGGCAGGCCAACAGATCTTTGCTAGCCAATCAAGTAGTTGGCCAGGAAAAAACCAAGAAACTAGCTGCAGCAGGGAGTAGGACCAAAAAGGCCAAGACAAAGGCGAGCGGCAAGACTGGTGGTGGTAGCAGCACGCAGACGGTGCTGGGATCCAGCTCTCCTTCGGTGGAAAGAAGTGCGGGATTAACGGGGCGCAAGAAACCAACGGCGACAAAAACGACGGCGGGGACTCAGCGGATTGGTAAAACTCAGCCACTTTATGGGCGGCGAGTCTATGGAAAAGTCTGAAGGCGGCGATCAGCCGGATAATCCCGGGGAGAAGGAGCAGACGTCGCATCAAGGGACAGATCATCAGGTGCTGCGGGAGAAGCGTCGCCGGAGTGTGTCACCCGATGAAGGTGCAGTGGGTGGCGGGGCAAAGTCGGCAGAGGGCGCATTAGGAGGCGCATCTGCGGTCGGGGTAGCGGCCAAAAAGCGGGTAAACATTCACCACACATCGTCATCGTCGCATCGGCACACTTGCCTTGCCCTCAGAAAATAGATTCTCACTCAGCCGATCCGTTAGGAATTCTTGGCAGCAGTTGCCCGGTTGAGGCTGCTCTGCAACCGCCGAAAAGTCACCACTCAACACCGCACACAGCAGACACTGAACATTTTGATGAAACAGTCGAAATTGCTTGGTCTAATAAAAAAGGAATTATATACTACAGAAAAGATCTTCAAGGCTTTTTGAATGAACTTTGATGAGAAGGACGAGAATGTACAGTTGTGGCTTACAGAATAGATTTCTTTACTAATTCCAATTTTGTTGGGCTTCAGTATATTCGTGATAATGCACTTATTGAATATTTAGAATATTTAAATATCATTAGTTCTCAATTGCCACCATTATAGGCGAAATTTTATATATTTAGATTTATCTTGCTGATTATGTTTAGCATAGTTGTAGCAGAATTTTTGTTAATGTCATGTATTTTTGTCATGTGATTCCGCAGAAAATCACCGAAGAAGCCGCCGCTGCTGCCAAAGTCAACAGCGAAGCCATCACATCGGCGACTGGTCCAAACACTTCCACACAAGCAGCCGCCTCCGCCAATGAGGAGGATGACAAGGACAAGGAAGACGACAAGGATGCCAAAAAGAAGAAGAACCGATGTGGCGAGTGCCGCAAGAAGGTTGGCCTAACCGGTACGAAATCATATCTTATTCATTTATATAGAATTTGTAACTTAATCGTTGTTTTGTTTTTACAGGTTTCCAGTGTCGCTGCGGCGGTCTGTACTGCGCAGTGCATCGTTATTCTGATAAACATAACTGCACATTCGATTACAGAGAGCACGGCGCACAGGAAATCCGACGCAACAATCCCGTTGTCGTTGGCGAAAAGATTCAAAAGATTTGAATTTCGATATTGTGCCAGTAACAGTAACAGTAGCCGTAGAATGATAATAACCAACTACACATAATAAGAGTACATATAATATATATGCTGCGCTATAACAACAAAATCAACAACCAACAGAAAACAGCAGAAAGCATAAACACACACTATACACACAACACAAAAACACAGATTAATACTATAAAAATCGATATAAACTGTAATTGTAATGTAATTATAATGTAAACAGCTAAACAAGCAACAATAGTACAGAGAAACGATAACCAAATACCCCGCAAAAAATGCAGCAACAACTGGAACAACAATTTCGATGCTCAACAACCAACGTTAAGCTAGCGACGTCCAGCAGCAACCTGCAGCGGCAACAAGCAACATGAAACATGCAAAAGCCAGCAGCTTTCAGCAGTTAATACCTTTGTACATCTTGAACCAGACGCGTGACAGCGTTAGCAAGTGCAACAACAATCACCGCCGCGATTATGGAAACGAAACAACAACCGCAGCAACATCAACAACAACCAGCACAACCGATTGCCTTGGTCGCCTGCTGAGCTGGGCCGAAAAAAAACCATTTTGAAGAAAACACCATTCATCGATTAACGTTGAAATATTTTGTTATTCCAAATACAATTTGCAAATTGTTTGTATTTAGCTAAATCCACACCAACCAACACACGGCCACATTTACAACGACAACAAGCACACAACAAACAACAAACCTTTGTTTCATGTTACATACAACGCAACAACCTTTTAGTAAGACGATGTGTGTCATTTGTTTATGTAAAATGTTGGAGTGTATTAAATAAAAAAAATTAAGTAAATTCAAAATGCTAAATATGAAAACAAAATTTATGAGAAATTTAACAAACCCAAAATTCACATACAAAAACCAACCAAGCAACCAACTCTTTCTCAATTCTTAATTATCAGCTACTAAATGAAAAAAAAACAAATATATATTAATTAATTATGTATATGTATTAAAAGAAAAAAAGCAAAGAAAAAATATGCAAAATTAAGCGTAAAAAAACAAAGCCCTCACCACAAAAAAAATGTAAAAAAAAACCTGAAGGAAAGAAACCAAGAATAACGCAATTGTGTAGAGCTCCATTAAACTGTTTGCTAAAAATTCACGACCACGCTAGACATGAGAGAGAGAATAGCTAGTGAGAGAGAGAGAGAGCGAGAAGGAGCAGCGCGATTAGTGTAAAGCAACTTGGAGCATAACAACTCCCTATACATAGAAATTTAAATATAATTATAATTAATTAGTGAATCAAAGCAGGCGAATGCAGTGCAAGCGGCGTTTTTCTTCGTTTTACTTTTTGCCCCTCCTTTGTCCCTCTAACATTAAATTGAATTGATTTTAATTTTCTGATTTTCGATGAATTATATATATATGCATAATATTAACTATATCTACGTCTATATATGGTAGGATATGTAAATCGTGTGACGCATACACATATATAGTTTATTTGGGTATATGCACATTAAAGCGAAAAACAAAAAGTAAAATCAGCAAAAAAACATATTCTATCTATATATATATAGTGGTTACAAAGAAAATTCAGCAAAAATGGTAAACAAAAAAATGCAAAAAATACAAAAAATATATATGGTTCGTCTTTAGATTTTTATTGCTTTAAGCGTTATTTAGTTTTTCTTTGTTTATATTAAAACACATGCGTACACAACAAAAACAAAAACCCTTTTTAATTTTTCTTTCTTCATGCTGTAGTATATAATTTAAATTTTTTATTCAAATCAATTACACCTATGCAAATAAATTTAAATCTAGAAATAAATTGTGTTGTTAACCCCTACGAAAAAAATACAAAAATGAAAAAAAAATCAAAAGGAAAATTTTAAGTAAAACTAAACTTATCGATAACAAAGAGGAAATACTGCAATAAATTTTGATTCTACAATTAAAATTCCCACACGACCAAAACGAATTCAATAAGCATATTTGGCACACAGAACTGAAAGCAATCGTTTTCGCAGCAGGAGCAAAATAAAAGCAGACACCAAACTCGCCTTTAATCAATCGCCTTCCCACACTCCTTGACAAAGGACACTTTCTCTGCCAGATCGATTCTACCTAGAGGTGCCCCAGATCGATATAGATGGCACTTCTAGATACACGTTGATCGGAATCGGCGGAATCTCGGGTTCAATGCGGGTTCATAGCTTTGACCGACTGGCTTGCAACAAACTTTAGAGACCTTCCTTGCGCACCGGAGATTCTGGACAAGAGTAGAACAATTAAATCCAGCAATAGTCAAGTCCAGCCACATTAGGAGTGTTTAGTCAGGACATTTGAACTGTACAAAATCAGAGATGGAAAATGCAACACTAGTAACCAACTTCAATATAATTTTAAATGAAAGACAAAACCTAATGTACAGACCAGAGCTAAAGTGGGAGAAATTAGTGATGCAATTATACACAACAAGAACAGCAAAATGTCATTTTAATTTTAATTCCCCCCACAATAATAAAGGCAACACTTTGCATATACGTATATCATAATTTAATTCATTAAAAACTTTAAAATTAATTAGTAAAATTGTATGCATACACAAACACACAAAACGAAGATGAACCTTAAGATATAACAAACAAGCTTCTTACCACAGTTTAAAAACGTTTTAAAACTGATTTACTAACTTTAAACGAAGGGAAGTTAAAAAGAAAAATAAAATACAGTTTTTATAGATGTAAAACCCATTTCTATATTTTTTTGCATAGTTGTAGTGTTTGTTTACAATTATTTACAATAATTTAAAACGCTTTAGTGTGCTTTTAGTTGGAATTGTGTTTATATGTTTAACAAAAGAGCGAAAGAGTAAAGTGAAAAGGCAAATAATAATTATAACTAAGCGTAAAAAACTTTTATTATTATTACTAACCAACGTTTATTCTAGTAGTTCTTTATTATATTACCATAATAATTATTATTTTGTTGTGTGCACCTCTTAGTCACTTTTGCGCTTATAAGCTAATCAAACAACACACAAACAATCACTTCAATACTTATCCGACATCCGACCCCCAAAGTCCCTCTTCCCAATTTCGCCAAAACTCTATTTGTGTTAAATCTTTTGCAATTGCTAGCCGAATTTGATTATTGTTTGACCCTTTGGATATGTGAAGTGTTTTGTATGAGGCAGAAGCGGAGACGAAACGAAATTAGTTGTTTTAAGCGTGTGAATGGGATTTAATGAACTTGAATATGAATGCATCCAATATCTAAAACTTTATGCCTATATAAATATTGTACTAATGTGTAATTGTAATTAAAAACACAGATGTGTGGAGAAACAGTGAACATATTTAACACAGAAACGGTAAAGCTAGAAAATCTAAATAGGAATAGATATATACATATACCTATACATGAGCCTCAGATCCGGGCGTATATAAGAGCAACAACTATTTTAATTAAACTTAAACAAATGCATAAACAAATACAATAAAATAGAAGATACAACAAGAGCAACCACAACAAATTTGCGATAAACCAAGAAACCAATATTAACTTCAAAATTTATATAGCTAACTGGATAATGTTCAATAAAAGGCGATAACATCATTTTTAAAAACAATTGCATGTTTTATTTTTTGAGATTTCTTTGGATATATATTTCGAGAGATATTCTTTTCCACATTTCGAAATTCATTGGGAACCCAAGCCAAGCCAAGGTGCTAAGTAGTTTAGAAACGATGGAGATGGTAAAACGCATAAATAAAATATTTATAATGGCCAATTGAGAACAGATCGAGTGGCTCTGGGATTTGTTTGTTTCAAAATGGTTCGTTCGCTCTACATGCAATAGTTATTAACCTAACTAAAGTCACAGCAAGTGTTCAAACGTAAAACTCAGTAACTACCTAAACTCAGCAAGTAAATAATACATTTTTGTGTGCTTATTTCGTTATAATAATTTATAAAACAAAATAACACCGTTATGCAATTTATATAAACAAGAAAAAGGTTTTGATCAAACGATAAATTAGGCTGCTAAAGTCTCAAACAAAAAATACATTGCAAGCCCAACCAGACAAAGAGATAAAGGCAACAATTACAATATTTAACAGATTCTTTGCGAAAGGTAAAATTATGAATGCTTAGATTATAAGGAAAATCGAAAGGAAAATATATATATACGAGATACAACAGTTAAATGAATGATGCAGCAATGTCGTATAAATAACAGAAACATATATCTTAAGTATAAATGAGTATATATATAGACTATATATACACACATATGTATATCTGATAAATGAGAAATCGCTAAAACTGATAAACTTAATCCTAAGTAAAATTAAAAAGAGAATACAAAACACGGAAAGAAATGGAACTAATAAAGAGAATTATTCTGAGAAATATAATGAATTGGCTTTTTATTGAGGAGGAAAAAGAGATGATATAATTGATTTTTAAAATATTCATTTATTTCAATGGATTTGGGCTATTGGGTTTATTTTACTTATTATCCATTGCATTACGACCGCCGTCGCCTGCTTTTATTTAGCACTTAAAAATTGACTTTAATTCTTTGTTAGAAGAGCTAATGTAAGCGAACAACAAACTCGCTCTAGTGCAATCTCTGATTGTGCGCAATAAAATACATTCTTGATAAGGCGGGGTTCGGGGATAAAGCAAAGCAACTGTAAACATATATCTGTGGTTCACGAACTCCACAGCGAACAGACTCTCAGCTCCCCAAGATCAGTTCTCCACTGGCATTCAAAGCGTTCGGTCGCCAACGAGTCTAAAAATAACCCGAAAAACATAAACTTAAAGCGTGACCCACATTGAAACCTGTGAATATGTCAACCGTTCAGACCGGTGAGTTGGTTAAGATTTAGGAGAGATAACAGCTATTCCTGGGCTTATCTGAGCTCATCAGATAATGAATTTTTTCGCTGTTTATGCATCCAGTTCTCGGCACTATCACCCCCAACCTGTTGGGGCGAACTTTGACCCATGAGCATGTAGCTCTCGATTTCGAGCACTTCTACCGCCCACCGCCGCCGGATTTCGAGAGCGAGTTGAAGGCCAAGATCAGCATGTCCACCCTCGGATATGTCCGTCTTTACCCGTATTCCAGCAAGGAGAACGTCCGCTTCTACGATGGAGAAGCTCTGGAGGCGGCCAAAAAGGACGTGCTGCTCTACAAGAAGCACGGCGGTGGCAGTATTGTGGAAAACAGCAGCTATGGGCTGAAACGCAACTTGGAGTTTATTGTGGAGCTGGCCAAGAGCACGGGTGTCCACTTTATTGCCGGCACAGGCCACTATATCCATGCCATGCAGGATGCCAGTCATGCCAGCTTAACCGTGGAGCAAATGAGTGATCTCTACTCCAAGGACATCATCACTGGCCTGCAGGTCAACGGTCAGGCGGTCAAGTGCGGATTCATTGGCGAGGTGGCCAGTGTCTATCCCATCCACGGTAAGCCATTTAACAATCTTTACATAAAATTCATCACATCAAATATCAATTAACTTTCACATTTTAAATTTAAGTCTTAGAAAATTATTTTCAATTACACAATACAAAGAATGAAAATGGTTAATAATAACCTCCTTCAGATTTTATATATAGATAATATATATTTTTTTTATATTATATAAGAATGTCCATCAGAAGAGCTTAACGCGATTTTAGAATTTTTCTCAAGGGTTATGATTTTTGGCGAAAAATCAACCAAAATGAAATTTGTTAGCTGTGAACGCCATTTAATTGGAAATTTTACAACGAATTCAACGAGGTATGGCATTCCATCGTGCGACAATCGATTGGAAATTTTATAACGAATTCAACGAGGTATGGCATTCCATCGTGCGACCATTATTTCCCATGGTTTTGATCAAAAAACCGCAATAAAAGTTGATTTTTCCGGATCCTCCGGATTTCGCCATTTTTCGTAAGGGGTTAGTTCATCTTTTTTGGCGAAAAATAGACCAAAATGAAATTTTTTAGCTGTGAATGCCATTTAATTGGAAATTTTATAACGAATTCAACGAGGTATGGCATTCCATCGTCCGACAATTATTATCCATGGTTTTGATCAAAAAACCACAATAAAAGTTGATTTTTCCGGATCCTCCGGATTTTGGCATTTTTCATAAGGGGTTAGTTCATCTTTTTTGGCGAAAAATCGGCCAAAATGAAATTATTTAGCTGGGAATGCCATTTAATTGGAAAGTTTATAACGAATTCAACGAGGTATGGCATTCCATCGTGCGACCATTATTTCCCATGGCTTTTATTAAAAAAACCGCAATAAAAGTTGATTTTTCCGGATCTTTGGAATATTTCACATTACTTCATGGTTTGTTATAACAAATACACTATAGTGTATCTAAATAACAACAGATCTATTTACAATTCTCCAATGTTCTTAATGTATTACAGATTTTGAGAAAAAAACGATTAAGGCGGCAGGCGAGATCCAGGAAGTTCTGGGCTGTGGAGTTTCCATGCATCCGCATCGTGTGACCAAAGCCCCATTTGAGATCATGCGCCTTTACTTGGAGGCGGGTGGGCGTGCCGACAAGTGCGTAATGTCGCATTTGGATCGTGAGTGAAATTGTTTTTCAGACCTTCCTATTCTTTTGACAACCTTTATGTCCATTAGGCACAATTTTCGACGTCGATGAGCTGCTGGAGTTTGCCAAACTGGGCTGCTACATTCAGTACGATCTCTTCGGCACGGAGTGCTCCTTCTATCAGCTCAATACCAGTGTGGACATGATCTCCGATGGCCAACGTATTGACAACCTGGTGAAGCTCATTAAAGAGGGTTTAGTGGACAAGCTGCTCATGTCCCACGACATCCATACAAAACATCGATTGGTGGGCTAAAATTAAGTCTATTGTATAAATTGTTGTTATCTAATTTTTACTATTTTTAGACTTCCTATGGCGGTCATGGCTATCATCACATCCACACCAACATCCTGCCGCGAATGTTCGAGCGCGGAGTTACTTTGGAGCAGGTCGAGCAAATGACGGTCACCAATCCGGCCAACTGGTTGGCCTTTGACCCCTAGAGGCGTGTTGTTGATTGGTAGCATCTCTTATCATTTTATTCCCGTTGATAAGATTAAAATTGTTATTTTGGCAGTAATAAATGGGCGTGTCTTCGAATTCAAGTTTATCAAAATGACTTAATTATAAAAAAAAACAAAAATTGGGGGCTCGTGCGATTTGCACTTGGAAAAAAGATCATTCAAATATTGGGTCATTATGAGAGCTTATCATCTACAGTCATTATTGGTTAATATCGATTAAAAACTGTCTTTTTTTTTATTTTTATGTAGTTGTTATGTAGTTTTTGTTCATTCTGTTAAAAGACGTTAAATTGTTTAAAATGTTAAATATTTCACTGTGGATTTTAGATGAACCTACTAATGTCCTAACATTTTTGACCCGCCTCCTTTGTGCAAGCCTACTTCTAATGGATTTGATTTCCAAATCAGGAGATGGAATGAACATTTCCGATGATGTTGCCAAAAAAAGGCCAAACAAGTACAAACGAGGCGCTATCGATGTTATTGTTTCGTTCGCGGTTGCCAGAGCAGCTCTTATCAGTTCGTCGTCAGGCCAGGCCCCATAAAGTGACCAGCCGGCAATTGAATCGTATTGCAAAGGTGCCGTTTTTACGACCCAATACAGAGTCTCCCCATCCATGCGCCTATATATACCAGTTCCGATCGGTGTCGCATTCAGCAGTATTTGGCGAGCAGTTATTGGCGGAGGTCCTCGAGTGAGTTTAAGGAGCAATGTCCCAGGCAGTGAAGACGGAATCGCCCAAGGAACCCAATGGTTCGGCTATTAAGGCCACAAATAACACAGCTGTCAATGGAAAGTTGGAGCCTCAGAAGAGACCCAGACATGTTTCAGGAGGCGTTGAGGAAATCATCGATCCCTTCTGCAATCCGGAGCGACCTCAACGCATATCCTTCCACGATGTCACTTCGGCTGCATTTCTCATCCGTGGCGGAGTGGAACGCACTCCCTGTCCGGTAGATATTTCTATACTTCCTGTTTCGAAATCTCCTCTATTTGGAAATTGACTTACAGAAATCCACATCGTCGGATCTATATGGCATGGAGTTGTACTTAAAAAAGGATTTCCTGCAATACACGGGCAGGTGAGTTTAAAGCCGAACCAGACTAAGAAATTTTTATAATTCAAAGAGATGTACGAACAAAAATTACCTTCAATTCTGTAATGCATTTAGTAAAAGAAAAAATAGTTTAATGCTAGTTTCAAGTAATCGGCTTATTACTTTTAGGATCCGAGCACAATTGAGTTCTAATTTTAGTTTACTTAATTGGTTAAGTTTGCTGTTCATAAAGTTTTTAATAGCATCCGGTATTGGAAAGATATGTATTTTATTCATAGACACTTTTTTTATGGTATAGACATTACTAATTAGGAGTTTCTATAAATTGTACAAGCGAATTAAAAGTGTTTTTATTTGTATATTTTCCTTGTATATTTTTTGATAGGTAATATAGGTCCAAGGTGCATTTCCACTTTAGCGTTATTGTTTATAATGATCTGTTTTGCTTAGCATTTAGTAATCGTTACGTATACTATGAGTATTGTCTGGGAGTGCCATTTTCATTTTTTTGATAAGAATCTTTCTACACTCATATTATACAGTCAAACTTCGTTAAATCAAACCACAATTTTTGACGAAAACAATAAGAGTGTCAAGAGTATTTTAATAATTTATTAAGTATTTTAGCTTAGAAAACGATGGATCAAGTTACGGAAGTTTGACTGTAACTATTTTTGTTTGTTGACACTTAAACGGCCTATATCGGTGGATTCGAGTACGACGCACTTCTATTATTACGAAAACATTTCGGTGATTAATTTGGCTACACATAAAAGGCAAAGATCCGATAAGATAGGCTTTAATTGGTAGAAAAAGTTCGATTAGCCCAAATTAATAGCTGTTGCTAATGGATTTTTGAGAACATGTGTCTAACAGCCCCACTTCACAATTTTGACAGCTTCAAGGAGCGTGGCGCACGCTATGCCTTGTTATCACTGACCGAAGAGCAGAAGCGAACCGGAGTGATCAGTGCCTCCTTGGGCAATCATGCCCAGGCGCTGTGCTACCACGGCTGGAAGCTCAACATCCCGGTGACCGTGGTGATGCCCAAGGCGGCCCCTATCATGAAGATCCAGAAGTGCCGCAACTACAAGGCCCGCGTCATCGTGGATGGTAACGACATGGGCGAGGCCAAGTCCCTCGCCATGCGGATGTCCCGCGAGGAGGGTCTACTGTACGTGAATGGCTATGACCATCCGCACATCATGGCCGGCCAGGGAACCATTGGCCTGGAAATACTGGAGCAGGTGCCGGAACCGGATGCAGTGGTGGTGCCAGTCGGCGGAGGTGGCCTAATTGCGGGAATCGCCACGGCTGTGAAGGCACTGTCCCCCAAGACCAAGATCATTGTGAGTATTACCGCGGGAATATTTTGTATTTGGATCATTTTCTCTTTACTTTCCCTCAGGGTGTGGAGTCGGAGAAGTGTGCCAGCTTCACCAGGGCCATGGAAAACAACGGACCCATCCACACGCCCATCAAGAATACACTGGCCGATGGTTTGGCAGTACCCAAAGTGGGCTACAATGCCTATGCCACGGCCATGCCCCTCATCGATCGCATGGTGGTGGTCAAGGAGGAGTGGATCGCAGTGGCCATCCTCCGGCTGGTGGAGGAGGAGAAATGCGTGGTCGAGGGTGCGGGTGGAGCAGGCCTAGCAGCCATTCTAGCCGGTCATCTGGATGAGCTCAAGGGAAAGAAGTGAGTACAAATACTGTTCAAAATAAGCTATTAAGGGGATCCCCCCAATCTCGATTTCAAATTTTGACGATTTTCAATGGGCTGGTAAATGTACATATATTATTTTTTAGGCTTGTAACTTTGCATCCATTAATTTTAAGTCTTAAAAAAAAAAGAAAAAATCATTTGGTATATGTTCTAAAAAAGCAAATTATGTATTTTCCTACAGAGTTGTGGTTCTCCTCTGTGGTGGCAACATAGACACCACCGTTTTTGGACGCTGCCTAGAGCGAGGCTTGGCCGCCGTGGGTCGTCTGGTGAAGTTCAATGTGGAGGTCAGTGATCGTCCCGGTGGCATCAACGATCTGTGCGCCCTGCTGGTCCGCGTGGGAGTTTCCATCAAGGATATTATGCACGAGAGAGCCTGGCTGAGGGATGTGTACACCGTGGAAGTGAAGGTCGTGTGCGAAACAGTGGACTGGAGCCACAGCCTGGAATTAAAGAACGAGCTGAAGAAGTTCTACTCCAAGGTGCAGTTCTCCGATGTTCCATTAGCCCTGACAAATGATTCCGATTCGTAGGCCAATCGTCTGTATAGTACACATATGATTTATTCACTTCAGCAGCGCAGCAAAACTTAAAGCTTTAACTTAGAGCTTAGTTGTATAAGTGTAAACATAATCGTAGTCGAAGTAGAAATGTAAATTAGGTGTAAATAAATATACATAAAATACGAAGTCTAGAAACAAATTGACAAACGTAGGGATTGCATAATTTACAAATTATGATTCTCTGTTTACGAACTAAAACACAAACAACTAAGAATATAAATTCATGAGCTTAGGCTACGAAGCAGTTCTTCAAGCAGACACACAATATCGATTTTTTTTGTATTTCTTTCTTTTGCTTTTGTTTAAAGATCTTCTTGCGGTTTTTGGCACATTAAGGATTTATTACATACGCTCAGTCAAACAAACACACAGTACGGTATATATCGAAATTTACATTTACATGGCTAGAAAATATATATGTCTCTATATAAATATCGTTTATGTGGTAAAATGTATAGTATAGGCTATCTCATAAATACAGGCATCTCGTTGTTAAGACTTTAAAAGCGCTGACTAAATCTACGTTGAGTATGCTAAGTGTTCCGGCTGGAGCCGCTCTCAGTGGCTATTGTCCAGGCGCAGGATGAGGGCGTCGACCACATTGTAGATCTCATCGAAATGAGGCCGGGATTCGGCATCGGCTGCCCAGCACTTTAGCATCAGTCGATACATCTCCGCAGGCGTGTTCTCTGGCGTTGGCATTCGGTATCCTTTAGACATCAGAGATTTCTAATTAATATCTCTATCAACTTTACAATATTGCTCAATGTTTACCCGTATCGATCCGTTCCCTGGCCCTTGAATTGCTCATGCCCGAGTAGGGTGTGTCCCCCTTGGAGAAGATCTCCCACATCAGAATGCCATAGGACCACACGTCGCACAGTGAGGTATACTTTCCAAAGTTGAGGGCCTCGGGAGCTGTCCACTTCACAGGTATCTGCTTCATTCCATCGGAAACTATTTTACAAAGTGGCACCTTAAATATTGGCTTTGTTTTCTTGAAGGCAATGTGGACTATACCTATATACTCTTCTTCCTCGCGTGACATCCCGAAATCGGAAATCTTCACACTGTGCTCCAGGTCAACGAGACAATTACGCGCCGCCAGATCGCGATGAATGCAGTTCTTGGACTCCAGATATCGCATGCCTAAGTAAAGAAAGTATTCTTTGTTAAGTAAATATGATCAAAGGGGTTTTAGGACCACCTACCTGCCGCCGCATCCCTGCACATTCCCATTTGTTGGCGATTGGAGAGACCATTGGAGTTCTTACGCAAGTACGTTAGTAGGGAACCACCTGAAAAAACGAGTTCAAATGTTACTTAGGTCTCTCCAAAATATTACAAATATATTTTTCCAGAACCTACCCAGCACCAATTCCATGACAATCATTATGGGCTGCTTCTGCACACAAATGCCTATTAGCTTGACGATATTAGGATGGTCGTATTGCTTGAGGATGCGGCCCTCTTGGAGGAATTTACGCTTCTGTTCGTCGGGCAGGGTCATGCGGCAGGTTTTGACGGCCACATCCAGTTTGGTGGACTTCAGTTTGGCCTTGTAGACGTCGCCAAAGTTGCCCTGAAGATTTGTATATAAAATGTGCTTAAAGTCCCTTTAATCTTTGTGTATAAAGTTGGTTAATTACCCTGCCAATCCGCTCGAGGAGCACCACATCATCGTTACTCAGCTCCCAGCGTTCTCGGCAAACGGGTCGCCGGAGTATGGCTCCGGATTTGACAGTCACCGGCAGCTCGGAGTGGTACTGGTGCATTATCAGCTCCTGGATGCTGGCAAAGGGCGGTCCCTCGAACCGGAAATTGCCCTCTCCGGTGGTCTGGACAATGAAGTGCTTGTGGCCATTCCAGCAGACACTCAGGACGATCTGGCTCTCCTCGTTCCGAATGGTCTCGCGTACGAGGAAGTCGCCATCGTTGTTCAGCAGTCGGACAACCTCTTCACGCGGCAGAACGCCATGGAACCATTCCTCCTCGTAAAGCGGACGATTCGTGGAGAGCGATATCTGCAAGAGCCGGATAATTAGCAAAATCTATATTCCCCTCGTGGCCGAAAGATTAGTGAAAGCATGCAGAATACCAAAAACAAAAAATAAGGAAAATAGAATAGCTTAGAATCGGTTAACACGCCATTTCCACATTTCCATTTCCAAATGGGCAGCGGAAATGCGTGGGTGCAATTGGCTTTGACGAAATTGCAGTAGCTCCAAGATATACACGCAAATTAATTATAATTAAATACTGTAAGCAAGAGGCGTATTAAGTCAGCAAGATACGTATATATTGTTACTAGAGGCAAATATGGATCTACGTTCAAGGTTGATCCGCCGGATGACTCACAAATACTTTGGATTTGGGCCGCTTTTTTCGGGCCGGCGGAACGGGTCGACCGCTGAAGACAATTGTCTCGAAAATCCCCCCACTTTCGGCACCACCGTAGTTGCTGCTCTGTCCGGAAGCGGTGCTGCTCATGATGGAACTATCAGTACTAGTACCAGTCCCAAAACAACTACTTGAACTTGCGCAATTGTCTCACAGAAACTGAAATAGTCGCGCGTTCTGTCGGATACAAATGTGATAGATCTCCAACTTTTCACTGGCCAAACAGACGCCAAACATTTCGATGGACTAGATTAATGGCGACTGCCGCTCGGTATCCAAACAGCTCGCCAGATCGGTGAGAACTAAAAGATATAATCGCCTTACGCTCTCCGCTGAACTTGTCTCTTTTGGCCACTTTCGCTCGTTCTCATTGGCACGCACAAGTAATTTTAGCAAATGGAAGGGTGAAGGAAATGCTAAATCAGTCGAAAGTCTTATACACTTATGTGAATCACAACTGGTGTTCCCTGCTGAAATTCAAACTCTACAAAAATATAGTCTAAATAACTATATACAAAAGGCATAATTATGTCCTCAAATAAAATATGAAAAAGTAACTATATACAAAAAGTAAAATTAAATATTCAAAAAAAAAAAATAATTTACAGTCAAGAAGACAAGAATATTTTTTAGTTACTTTTCATGAGTCTGTTATTTTTAGACCAGTTAAGATTTTGGTGCAAAAGGTGATTTATAGTGCAATACATAGACAAATCTTCTAAGGGAAAATCATTTTCATGTTTAAAGAAAACTAAATTGGAAACCAGAACACACAAACTAGCCGTGATACCCCACTTTTCAGTTTTGGCTAAGTTCACCCTGTGTTTTATTTTGGGCACGCTCTAAAAAAAGCTCTTTCCGCAAATGCTTTCAATATTGAAACATGCACAATCAATCAAACATGCAAATTGAAGGGGGCAGCAATGCGATGCGATGCGGTTCTCGATTCAGTGAGGTGGCGTCTTGTGGCGCCCAGTTGGCTTAGATACTCTCGGTACGGTGGGTGCGGTGGTTGCTCGGATACGGATGCGGATGCGGGTAACTCACACTGGCCGCCAGGCTGGGAACGCAGTAGCAGTGATCCTTCATGCTGAGCACGTCGTCGCTGTCCTCGTCGTCGTTGTCCTCCTCCTCGTCCTGGTTCTCGACCAGCTCCCCGGAACTGGACTCAAACGTACGCTCCTTGCGACCGGATATTTGGACGGATGGTTTTGGGATTTTCGGTGCAACCGGCGGGCAATTGCAGAACTGCCCATCATCCCCCGCCGATCCTGCCGGCTGATCCGCCTCGAATTCCCGGGCAAAGTCGAAGACACTCTTGCTGGGATGGATGCGTCTCCTTTTGGTGCACTGTTTGCAGGGCTTGGATCGCTTCAGCTGGAAGTTCAGCAGCTTGGAGCGGAATGTATTGCGGATGGCCTTCGATTTCTTCTGGATCTTGGGCACCTTGAATTTCAGTCTTGAGGTTTCCTTGGACGGCGTCGTGGACGTGGTGGTCGTTATGGTCGTGGTGATCGTGCTCGTGATGATCGTCGACTGTGAGGCACTGTGATTGCTATTGTTATTGTTATTATTGTTATTGTTATTACTGCTGGAACTGCTACTGTTTGTGGGGCAGTCACTGCTGCTGGAATGCTGATGATTCGGCTGCGTCCTTTCCGCATCCTGCTCCTCGTGGAGCGTGTGATTCTTGGCCATTCGCACCAGAGGACTTTTGGAGAACTCCTTTAGATTGCTGAAGATGTTGCTTATGGACTTTTGAGTGAACGAAAGCGATCGCTTCTTGGAGTGACCCGCCGTCTCCTTGGAGGATCGGCACTCCGAACTGGAGCTGGAACTGCGCTTGGTTTGGCTATCTGGATCTTTGGCCAACTTTCTGGTCTCTATCTGATGGCACTCTTCCGCACTCTCGATGGCATTCACATCGTCGCTGGGCTGCATACTCCGCTTCAGGCGATCGTCCAGCACGCGATTCAGTTCATCGATCCTGTCCAGATGAGCATCTATGGAGTTCTGGGGTTTGGCCTGGTTTATTTCTATTTGGACTTGCTCTTTAGTTTCCTCCTCCTCCTCCTCGTCGCTTTCTAGACTGGCGGCTTCCCGCTTCCTGTCCAGCTCCAGATCCGCATAGATATGATTGTTATTGGTGTTAGTAAGGACAGCGGCGGTTAGCTGGGTGAGCGGGAGGGGCGAGGCCAGGACAACGGCAGGCTCCTCGGCCTCGCCCAAACACAACATGGAACACTGGGTGCGACGCAGGCGTGGCAAATGGGGCGGGGTCACTGAACTCGGGGTGATCTCCTCGCCCAAATAATGAACGCTGGCCGAACGGTGGTTAGTAATGGGCTCGTAACGTGCAGGACTTGGCCCGATCCCATTCCTAATTACCGACAAGGATCCGAGGCTTTGGGAGCGCGGCTGCAACTTGTTGAAGCGTCCTTGACGGCACCTGGTCGTGGGCGTGGTCGGTTGGGGGGTGCTCTTCCTCTTGAAGTGGCGACCCCTTCCGCGCAGCAGGGTCAGAACCCCGCCGCGTCGCATCAGCTCGTTCATGATGCCCAAGCCTGGTGAACTCGTGGAGTTGGACCTCTGCTATTTGAGGGGTTAGATTTCGGATGTGTTCATGGGTTTTCGGGTATGTGAGGTATGTGGCATGGCAAGGGGGCAGCATCCAGAGAGAAAGAAATGGTTTCATCACACAAGATTAGTTAGACCATCACCACCTACACTTAAGACTAACCAAAACCTATGTGGATGGGAGCAAATCTTCCACTCACCTGCTGCTCATTGTTGTAGCCATTCTCGATGAAGGTCTGCTCGAGGGTCAAGTGGTCGTCGCATCCGGAGGGCAGTTCCTCGCAGCCCACCTCGTTCAAGGCGCACTTGATCATGTCCACCAGCTTCTGCTTTTGCTTCTCCTGGCAGCGCAATGCATTCAGGTCCTTCGACTGGCGACTGAAGGAAATCATTTGGATAACTTAGGACTTTAGTAAAGTTTAATAGTATATGAATTTTAAGCCACTTAGAAAGATGCTTAAATGTTTGTTTCTTGAAGCAACGAAATATGAAGTTTAAAAAGTTACAATATTATCAAAGAATTCTTAAATTAATAGTTATAATTCTAGCGTTCTTCGATATACAAATGCTTAAACCTCAGATTTCCGAAACAAAATCGTTACATTATTTAAAAGATTATTGAAGTTGTAGTTTTTCTTGCATATTAAATAAGCTTTTCAATGGATAGTATGATTGATGCAGTGATCTAATATAAAGTTCAATAAGATATTCTATGATGTTTACCATTGGCTATCCTTGTTGGACTGGATGCCATTGGATGTGTTGCTGCCGTTGGATATAATGCTGCCATTGGCCACAGGGGAACCACCGTTTACGTGCTCGATCATCTTCAGCTGCTTCTCCTGGCAATCCTTGACCGCACTCTCCAGTTCCTGGAGGCGATTCCTCAGCCAGTCCACCGTGAGGTTGTCCACCGTCAAGGTGCTCGACTGCAGTTTGCCGGGTATGTCCTCGATGAGCGTCTCATCGAACTGAAAGAGCATGGGGGATGTGGGGGATGTTCTGGGGATATAGAAGATAGATCAGTCCCTTGTCTAAATCCAATAAAACCAGGAAACTCACTTGTGTTTCTCGGTGAACTCGCCGTACTCCTCGGTCGGATTGATGCCGCCTATCACAGTGTCAATGCGCTTCTGTATCTCCTTGTACTTGTCGGCCGTGAGATCGCCATACTGGGCCGCCTCCTGCAGGATGTTGCGCCACAGCAGGATGAAACTCTCCTGGACGGACTGCTGGTGCTCCAGCAATCCCGGCAGCAGCACCGTGCGGAAGTCCTTCTCCACTTCGATGGCCTCCGTGATGGACAGCACGTACTCGTTGTGTGTGAGGTGCAGCTTGCGGCAGGCCTTCTGGTACTTGTCGCGCACATCGTCCAGCTTGCGGCCACTGCGACTGGGTGCTGAAATCGGAGGAGGATCACATGTGCACTTAGAAGACTTCTTCAACCATTCAGATATTAAATCTGTATAAGAATTAACTTTTCTTTCTAGGACTTACAAAGATATGGAATCATAGCTAGCTGAAATTTATATTTTAATGGTCTTCATTGAAATGCATATTTCAAGTTTATAAGAGTAATACTAGCTAAGTTTAGACTTAAAAAATGTGTGGTTTAATAGTTTCTAGTAGCCCTTAGCTCCTCTTTTTATATTTAGTAACTGACATTATTTCAGATGAATTTGAAATATATAGAGAAAAGTATAAGCAAGGAAACATTCTATGCAACTATTTGAAGAAGTAAACATATGCTTACTTTAGTTATATGTATGTATATACAATTAAAAAAGTAAGTCTTTAAATTAATCTTAATATATTGTTAATAGGCTATTCATATACTGATTTACATTGCTTTTATATATCAAACCAATCAGTAACGTGATACCCCGGTTTTCAAACTCACCTTTTATGTAGTGCTCCTCAAAGCGCGTGCGCAGCGCCTTGTAGCCCTCCAAATGTTTTTGGTATTCGGTTTTCTTGCGAACCACCTCGTCGGAAAGCTGAAATGAAAAGAGGAGAAGTGGGGGCTTAGTTTGGATTGATTTCAATGCGGTCAGCACACGTGTGCCTCAGCCAGTAGGGCACTTTCCCAAAAAATGGGCTCATTACATCATGATTATTGCCGGCGTCACTACGTGTTCGTCTTTTGTCGCGCACTGTGCTCGACATGCGAGTAATCGCATAATGGAACCTACACCTATCTCCTCCATTGGGTGAGTATCTCTCACACTTTCTTCGCAAAACATTTTCTCACGTTTGGCCATTATGCAAGGTACACGTCCAACCGCAAAGCCAACAAAAACTGAAAAGCTGCGACTCCGCAAATGACTGATAAGTGACTGGGCAAAAGGATTGCCCATTGCATTATGCAGCTGAGCCAACATCCCAGCATCCGTTAGCGTGTGTCAACAAAATCAACAACGACTTTGTTGCCGAGGATTGTGACTGCAGTTCAAGTCGAACCTGAAGCTGAATCTATAGCCAAAGCCAGAGCTAATGGCTGCAAAGTGCAGTTAGTCAAGCAGCTGCAAAGTTGCAAAGTTGCTGAGTTAAGGTTGCATGGACATAATGCAGCTGATGCAGGGCACAGTGGGTGATTAAGATAAATATTTCCTCTATAATTCAATTATATTAAAAAGCTAGATACCCAAATACCCATTAAAATAACAAAGTGAATCTGTTCAATCGTTGAGTGAATATAAACTATTCCACATAATATTCATTATAAATTTAGTACCTATTTTTTAACAAAAAGACAAAGAAAATGCAGATTACCAACCATAAATAACATATAAGATAATATGATGACTTGGCTAACTTAAAACTAAAACTAACTTGCTAAGCGTCAGGTTTTATTTGGACATGTGATTTAAAAAAATATATCAAGAACTTGTTCTTCTTGAGAAAACACCATTTATTGAATTCTATTAATAACCACTTTTTAGCAGAATTTTCCATGGTTACCAACTAAGTCAGCAACTTGAGCCGCTTTTTGTTGATGTTGCTGTTGTGCAGTTGGCTTTGCATATTAATTGCAGACAGTTTTGCACTCTTGCACTAAACGCGGAAACTAGAGAGAGGAATTAACTAATTAAATGATTGGGCATGGCTTGAGAATTCGCCAATGAAAATCACTAGTAAACAGCAAGGTGAGCTAAAAATTCGATAGAACGCATATACAAATTGCTGACCCAGTTAAGCCGATTTGGCATTGAAAGTGTTGTCGAGAGTGTTTCGAGAGTTATCTCTGAATTGGCTGCAATCTAGACAACTTGTGGCTATTGTTGGGGCGACGTAATAACCAATTCTGTAAGGTTCTGGTTTTATAATGTTTGTTTTTTGTTTTTTCGGCAAGTGGCTAAGCAACTTTCAATGCCTTTGCAGCTGCTAATTTGCCTAAAAAGTTGTTTAGAAAGAGAGAGCGACAGAGGTATAGAGCTATATAGCTATATAGCAGCAGCCACAAGTAAAAGAAATAAACATGGCTCGAAAGTGGGTCATGCGCGCCGTATTTCTTACCGCTCAGCGGCTAAACAGTCAATAGCATTTGGGTAAACCCCTTCCCCCGCTCCACTCACACATTGTTTACAAATGATTGCCAATTTTTTTATATTTTTTTTTTTGGGTTTCAGCCGCCAGAACAGCGAATTCAACGATCCAAACGGATTCGAGGAAAGTTGCTAATCTACCACCTGCACTAAGCCGCCGAAACTTTCTCGCTTTTCTCACGCAATTTCCCCCTCCGAATTTCATTGGTTGCTCATGGCTTCTAGGATGGGACAACGCACAGTTTAAAAATTCCGAATCCATATGTAAATTCGGCGATGACCTAATGGAATCTGTGACAAGTGGTGCCAGCTGCCACGTTTTGCATTAATCAGCTTGATTCTTTCGGTTCGTCTTTCGATTCGAATTCCGCTTCTGTTTCGGACTTCTGTATACTTTGGCAAACTTTTATTCGGACATCAAACTAAGCGGAAAATTCTTACCTAATATTTTTATAATTGCGATAAATTTAGCTGACATCTGTGATTCAGGATCAAGCATTTTTTTGCTTCTAAATAAGCTTTTGGATTTTATGACATCGTAAAAGATGATTTTGACAATGTCTTAAATTAGTCCGCTATGTTTTTATTACTAACGCGTCATTGTTTGATTTAATCGGCTTTTGTTTTTTTAAAGAGTTGTTCACAATTTAGTGTCAGTAAAATGTTTGTCTAGCAGTTAAGATCTTTAAACATATTATAGAATAAATAATAGGGATTTCGAAAATACTTTCTTAATAGAATAAATAATACACGCAATATTACTTCATATTTTAATATTTCATAAGGCTTTAAAGTATATATATTTTCTAAAAGTTCTATAATATAATATGAAGAACAATTCGGATTCTATTTAAAATCTTTTATTTCTTGAAGTTCTATGGACGTCCCCATACACGAAAACACATTCGAATAATAACAATAAAAAAGCACAACTCAATCAAGCGAAATTGAATTCATGTCTACACTTCCAAAGAAATTGCCTCTAATCAAAATAAATTTGTCAAATGTATTGCGGAATCGTGATGCAATAAAAAGAAACCGAGTGAAGAAAACCGAGAGAGGAAAAAATGGGAAACAAGTCGAAAAGCTAAACCCTAGACGGAGTTGCATTTATGTTTTCTTTTTCTGTTATCCGATTTTTGTCAGCGCGTGAGAGTTTTTCTTGGCTGGCAAATTTGAATATGAAGCGGCGTGGCAGCAGCTGTGAAAACAGTTTGGGGGGGGATTTCCCCCAAAACGATAGGAAATGCCACACACGCTTGGGATTTTCCATTTGTTGGGGTGGAGGGGGGAAATCAATGCAGCCGATTGTCCGGGGTTTTTCAATAAGCCAACAGGCGGCGGTGCGCCACAAGATGTTGCATAAGTGCTGACAGCGTTGACAATAATAATCATGTTTGAATGAAACATTCGAGATCGTTTAAACACTGGCAATTGCGAATTATGCAAATTTATGACCGTTGGTCAATACACGAGTTTCCCCCTTTCAGACCAGGGATTTCGATTAGTTTCCCAGAGAGCTGCCCAGACTTGTCGTGGACTTCGTGGTTCGTGCCAGTGCTTTTGTGCCTTTAGCCCGGTCAATGAACCCCCAGTTTGGCCGACAATGGACACGCTAATATTAACGACCAACCCGTTTTGATGGCTTTAACTGTTTCTGCATTGCTCTTGTCGAAGCCACTGTTTAAACAATCGCAAATTCAGTCGCATAATTGCCACGCAATAAGTTCACTTTCGTTGGCCAATTCGTGAATAATATTTGCCAAGTTTTTATTGCCGTCTGTCCGTGCTCTTCATGTTTTGCACAAAATTTGCATGCGTGCCAAGTGAAAGAAGCATGACGAAAAGGTCCGAATTTAAATTGTATCTGTGAAATGCTGTCCGACGATTTTGCCGTTGCCAGCACTTTCTATTTCAGTCGAGTGTTGTCGTTTTTGTCGGAAGACAGAAAAAAACGCGCAACAAAAGAATAGAATGGCAAAATCGACGATCGCAGTGAAAGTGTCTTCGAATTGGCCAATTGCCGCGAGCGCGTTCGTCGCTTGAGTCTTTCGTTTTTCGGGGCCTCCAAGTGCCACCGCCAGTGTCGAATTGGGAGGTCTCAATCGCCGAAGGAGAGGCTGCAGAACCACTTTTCAATATTCAAAGCCACCTACGTGTCGCTTGCAACTTGTTTTGCATACAAACAGATACACACACACGGCTCCCATGCGAAATCCTGCGGCTGCGATCGTTTCGCGGAACAAGCATAAGTTTTAAGAGCCGAACACATCACTAGAAAAGTTGTGATAACTCCAGGCATACCCTAGTTATAAAGAAAAATGTTCTATGATTTTTAAAAATTAAATAAAAGTTTGGATTTTAATAGGATTCATATCCAGCATATCCAGCTTTGAATAATAAATCAAGGAACAATCGGGAAAACTTAAAATAACATTATAATCCCGTTGTTTCTTAACATATTTTCATATACAGTGACAAACTTAATTATTGGCACAGCAAGCATGTTAAACTTTGAGGCTATTTTTCTTCTTATAATATGCTGATATAAAAATAAAACAAAATATTTTTAGATAGCATCATTAATTTTATGTTAAATACAAGTGACTTCATTAATTTATCTTTTATAAATAATTTATTAAAAATAAAAAACCAAAGAATGGACCAAATTTGCCTGAACAAAATTATTGGCACACTTGGGTTTTAATTAACTATTTTGTTAAAACTTTATCGATTTGGCCACTTTTTTTTAATTATCACATTTGCCTCTATAATCTTAATGGTATAATAATTAATTTTATTGCTAAAATTGTTTTAGTGCCTTAAAATAAAGGAAAAGTTGTTTGACTTTACAAGGTAAAAATAAAATCAACCGCATGTGTCCAAAAATTAAAATTTAATAAGCAGGATCAATGCAAATCGAAAGTCAACATTGGGGAAAAGATGCCCAGAAGCCATTTTTCCCATTCGGAGTCCTTTGCCGCATTTAAAGGACCCACGCAGTTGCAAAATGCAGGGCACACTGGCTAATCCATGGCTTTGAGAGGCCAGGAAAGCGCAAGGATCGTATAAAAGGACAATGTCAACACCCAGATCTCCTCAACACGTATCGAAGTTGATGATAAGAAGGACTTTGGTAAGGATATTCACCCAACAGCCTTTTTCCAGGCCCTGCATGATGGTTTCTACAAATGAATTGCTCCTAGAAAAAATCCATCGGCTTGAAAAGGGTTCTAACATAAGCTCTTTGCTCGGGGAAAGGATTATTAAATCATACGAGAAGGTTGAAAGGACCCAAAAGTCGATTGGCATACTCAGATATAAATTTCACTGAACTAAAAGGTTTTTTTTTACTTTTAAAATCTATTGATTTCTTTTTGGTTCAATTCATTTGTAGAAACCATCATGCAGGGCCTGGAAAAAGGCTGTTGGGTGAATATCCTTACCAAAGT